TTGAGAATATGAATGAAAAACATTTTCCAGATTTTTTTCCCTAACATTTCTGCCCTTTAGACAGCCACTTCCTGTCTAAAGTTCACCTCTGATCATTTCTCGGGTTCACACACTCAGCCCTCTGTTCCAGTTTTGCACCCTGATTGGTGTCATCTGGGATCACACACAGTGCCAGGACGAGGCTGAGACAGTGCAACACCAAGGTGAGCCATGTCCCCAACCAGGAGTGCAATATTAAGTTGAGATTGTATCATTAAAAGCTGGAAATGGTTAGAAAACCATACGAGACAAAATATTCATAAACCCCTGCATGGACATTGCCAGTGCTGTAACCACAGTGGGCTGCAGAAGCTTGAGAGGACCTCCAAATGCTGGAAACAAAGAAACGTTTTCAGCGGAGAATAGGATTTTAGAGACAAATGGAGGGTGAGCTTGACTGATTTAGAAACAGGGTCTGGCATCAGTGGTGCACACAGATATGAGGAGGGCGAAATGCCCCACCCACCCTGGTGGGAAGCAGTCACACCAACTGGAGCTGTCCCTCCCAGGACCAAGTGTGCAGCATGCAGCACCCAGCACCGTGGTCATACAGCTGGCAGCTGCGTCCCAGGCCCCCTGGAGACAGCTGGGTTGGGAGACACTCACCAGCAAAGTCACCACGCTGTTTTGCTCAGTTTGAGGCTGTCTCTGCTCGCCAGAGGTCCTTGTCACTCTCTGAAGAGCACAGCCCACCTGAAGTCCCATTGGCCTATGTGCTTTACCAAGTGGAGTGAGCCAAAAAGCCCTCATCTGTGGAAATGCTGAAATCCAAAAGGAAATGTGATTTGTTCTGCTTCAGCATTTCCTCAAATGATGCCATTAGAGAATGGCTGTGGCTCAGGGCTAATTAGTTCAGAATGGGTGCAAAGCATCCTGGGATACAGATCTGGAGGGTGTCCAGGGACCATGGGGCCTCTGTGTGCAGCGTGGCCCTTCTCAGGATGACGGTGCACATTCAGTCATGTTTCGTTAGCAGTGGTACTGAAGCACTTGAGGGGTCTGCAGAGAGTCCCACTTTTCCTCAGTGCGATCTAGTCACCATGTCAGCATGAAGAGTCTGAGTCAAATCTGTTGGGTTTAAGCTCTGTGTCTGCCACATTCGGGCCATGTGATTTGGTTCCATTGCTTCATTGATTTAAAAGGACAATATCAGTGCCTCCCTTGTGAGGATTAAATGGGACAATGCATATGTAGGACCCAGCACCATGCTTGGCACATGGAAGTCTCTGCTATTGCTCTTTGGTTATTTCCCCCATCTCTAAAGGAAGCAGAGCTGTCCTTAGGTTTCCAGAGCACAGCCAGTTAATGCATACTCTCTGACATTTCTTGGTGGTTTGGGGACAGCTTATTCTGAGAGCCTTAGGGAGCCCTATCCAGCAGACACACAGTATTGTTGGGCATTCGCATCACCCTTGGACATGGAGAAACTTGATTTTATGAAGAATAATTGAAAGCACCATTTAGAATATCTCAGTAGAACACACAATGCACGGGAATCAGTTGCCCAGCACAGTGAGATATTTTAGAAGAAAAAGGTATAACTTTGCCCTTGAAACTTAAAATCTTGGGGAGTGGAGATTAACATACATGAACAATTTGAAATTGATTCCAGAGGGTAAAAGGACAACGGATAGGCTCACCCTCCGCCCACACGATGCATCCCAACCACCTACAGGAAGTCATTCCCCACAGTTGAAGCTCAGGTGCTTCTGCCAGTAAAACAGCTGATGGATTTCTTTCAATTGTTGTCGTGCTACCGAGCTGTTCAGAGAGACGGCACAACTCATTCTTTTACCTGAGAAGTAGAAGTTTGCAGAAAGAAATGTAATAAATCCCTCTCTTCTTTCAAATTTCATCTCAAACATTAGCTTTAGACAAAGATTCTCTGGACCCCTTTGATGAGATGGGAGCCCCTACACCTTCCTGCCTGAGCCCCACCTGCAAGTGACTATAGAGACAGGTGCTTCCGGCCCAGGGACCAGCCCCACCCAGCTTCCCAGACCCAGCCCAGACCTCAAACCCCAAAGCCTTAGAGAACACAGGACTCCATCCATCTCCAGGGACCAGGCCAGGGCTGTCTTACTGAATCTGGACCCAGAAATATTTTCTCCCTCCAGCAACACCTAGCAGTCCTGAAAGGGTAGAGATGGGGACCCCACGCCCACCACAGGCCACATGTGATAGGGGCTACTGTTATCTCTTTGTTATTCATTTGGATACGGGGCTGAGCAGCTGATTTTCAAATGCCAAGGTGATAGCTGAGGGCTTTGGGATTCTCACTCTGAGAGCTTCACTCCCCCTGGAGGTAGGAACTCTATAGTTCCTGTCCCTTGGCCACCCCTCCCCAAGCCCAAACTTGGCTCCAAGTTCTCAAGAGGTGCAGGTGGTGTTAGATGACCTCCACTCGAAGAGTTCTGATTTGTTGTCAGACCCTGTCTTTAGATGGGAGGCCCCTTCTTGATGAGGCCCAGGGACTGTTATGAGGCTCTTGTCTACTGACTGGCCCTGTGGACATTAATCCATGACCACAACGCTGTGATCTGGACACCCAGGGAAATCAGATCAACACTTTCCTATTCTCACTCAAATTAAGAATTAGGCTCCTCCAAACCAAGAAGTGGAAATTAACCAAATTCATGCCTCTGTGGAAAATGGCCTCTCTTTTACAGTATGAAGTCGAAGGACAAGTTGCAGGGGGCTGAATGGCAGCCCCCAAAAGACACATCAGATCTGATGACGGTGACCGTATTTGGAAAATAGGTCTTTGCAGGTGTAACCAGGTTAAGAATTTTGAGATGGGCGCATCCTGGATTACCCAGGTGGGTCCTAAGTGCTTTGATTAGTGTATTTATAAGAAATAGGAAAGGAAAAGACACACACCCAGGGAAGAAGATCACATGAAGACCAGCAGAAATTGGACAATGTAGCCCAAAGCCCAGGAATTCCCGGAGCCACCAGAAGCTGGAAGAGACAGGAGGGATCCTGCCCTGTTGCTTCGGGAAGGAGTGGGCCCTACTGACCTAATCTTGGGTTTCAGCCTCCAGAGCTGTGAGAGCATAAATCCCTGTTGTCCAGATTTTCCCAGCAGCTCCAGGACCCAGCACACAGGGTATGTGGGGAACATAGACTGTCCTCTCTGGACCTCAGTTTCCAGGACATAAAAGGATAACCTAAAGCAACCTCCAAGCCTCTACAATTCCATGTCTCTGTGGCTTCACACCAAATAGCCTGGGTGGGAGGAGCAGCCAGGGAGACCTCAAGTACACAGTGGTGCCCAAAGAGCCAGGGCTTGCTCTCTTTCCTCTCCTCCCAGCATCACACACAATTGTGTGGCATCTGTCCTACATAGGGTTTCCATATTTACTTAAGGTGCATTTGAAAAGCAACAAGCACTCACCAGCACAGCTACAGTAGTTCAGGGAAAGGCCCAGGAATCCCAGAGGCTGCATCCAGAAGAGACAGCACTGGCCCTCCCTCTCTGCTGCCCACCTTTACTGCCCACTGAGGACTTGGGAGGGGAAGAAGCATCAGATTATTTTTGCAGCAGGTGGTAGCACTATTTTCACATGGATATGTTTTATTGCATAAAAATTGGATTTTAAAAAACTCTCTATCTCTCTTATCTTTTTATATCAGAAATCTGTTTATATCTGCTTTCATGCCTTCTTGTACAATATCAAAATGTACCTTTTGAAAATATGAAAACCCTGTCATCCCCCAAAATGAACTGCTTACCCACCTTATGGATACACTGATGGTTTGATTTGGCTACATAATGGTTTTGTCAATGCAGCAAAGACTGAGGGAAAATACACAATAAAAGTAATAGTTACAAGCATCATTTTTAGCACCTGCCAAGTGTGCAGCACTGAGCTAAGCATTTAGGGAGAACCAATTCATTCACTCCTCACAAAAACACTATCAGATGGAAATAAAAAACAGGGCTCAGGGGTTTTGAATGACTTGCCCAAGCTCAGAGGTTACAGAACCAAGACTCCTAGCAGGTTTCCCTAGTCCAAGGCCTGTGACAATCACGCCACTCATGTTGTCCCTAGTGACAAGTCATGGAGCCTCACATTTAGGCAAAGGTGATGTTTTAATCACAGGACCTGGAGGGGTTGGAGGAAGGATGACCACAAAGCCATGCTTTCTGGGCTCTGCAGCTTTGTTGCCATACATACACTTCTTTTACAGAGATATGGAGTGGCTTTAGGACAGCTCAATAGGGGAGATTCCAGCTTGGTGTGCACACTTCTGTATGTGCATTTGTGTGTGTGTGTTTGTGCGTATCCATCTATGTGCATACATGCATGTACCAGTATCTGCATGTGCACACACGTGTACATGCATTGTGTATTATGACTGCATGCATGAATTTGTGTGTATACACGTTTTGTGTATATGCACATGCTCTGTGCAATGTGTGGTCTGTGTGTTCGTGCGGACATTTGCAGGAAGGTGAGAAAAGACCTTGGCACGTGAGCTATAGAGTTGTTCAGCCTGGAGAGTACCTTGAGATGTGCCCACTAGTTAAAAATTGGTTCTGTGATACTGAGAAGAAAGTAGTGGCCAGTTGTCCAACATGTGCAAATCCTCCCTCCCCTATCAGGATGCTTTCAATCAATGTCTACCTGGAAGACTCTTGGGAACCTACTGCTCTGGGGCAGGAGAGGGAAGAAGGAATTGAGCACCAAACCCATGCTGAGGTCTCTTGACCAGGCACAAGTCTGGATTTTTGCCATGGGTGACACTGGGGGTTAATTACAATCAACTCTTTCCTAAGGCCATTGGGCAAAGCCATACAGACAGCAGTCACATGCATGTGATAGCAGGAGGTGCTCTATGAGGGGCACCCTGGATGCCTACATGGGGACGAGGCTGAGAAGGAGAGGACACAGAGCAGTTGTTCACCCACTGCTTCTGCTCACCTGTCAAAGAGCCCTGGTGCTTGTGTCTTTCAGGAATTCGCCGACTCTGTGTCCCAGCTGGTCACGCAGAAGTTCCGTGAGCTGACGGTTGGCCTAACGTCTGTGCATGCCCGCCACAAAGCACTAGCAGGCATCGTCATGACCAAAGGTAACCACCTCTTCCTCTCCCTGTGGAGATTTTCTTCTCCAAAGAAAGGAGTGTTCAAGTTTACCTGACTGGGGGGCCAGCAGATTCTCTGTACCCACAGGGATATGGCAAGAAAGACAATACAGAACCCAGAAATCAGGGGCCAGCACTTACCAGAAGCACCCTACAAGCAGTGGTGGCACAACTCGCCTGCCAGGGCCCATCTGCATGAGCTCCTGTCAGTCCCATAGACAAGCTGTCAAGGCCTTGGCTGATCTGTCCCATTAGGCATGTCCCCATTTTCAAGAATGATGCTGTATTTGTAAAAGCTGGAGTCTGAGGCCAGACCAGGCCACCAAAAAAAGTCACCTGAAGCTGATAGGTAAGGAGTTGGTCCATCCCTATCAGTCCCAACGTGCCCACGACCAGGAGCTGATGCTTCCCCGTGTGCGGATCACGTGTGTCACCATAGGTCTTGGCTTCAGGGCAAGGAGATGGAGCCCCACTTGGACAAGTGAGGTGGAGGTGACCTTTCAGAAGGATGTCAATTGTCAAAGTGTCTGTTTCCCACGGCTTTGGCATCTATGGGCCTGTCCGAATGCAGACTCCATGCATCAGTCCTTGGTGGGCGAATAGAGGAAGGGAAAGGAGGGGACATAAGAGGACACCGCAGAGGCAGGAAACCAAGAGGGGACATAGTAGGACAAAGGGGGACATTAGGGAATAAGGGACACAGAAAAGACACAAAGGGCTATGGAGGAGACAAAGAGTAACACAGATGGGACATAGAGGGACATAAGGAGGACACAGAGAGAACACAGGGGAAGGGGACACAGGGAAACAGAGACCAAAAACAGGGATCACAGAGGATATGGGGGAGCAGAGAGAAGATATGGGGGAGATTCAGGGAGAGACACAGGGACCGGGAGGCAGAGGGGACATAGGAGGATGCAGAAGACACAGAGGGACACAGGGTGATACATGGGGACACAGTACACAGGGGACCCCAGAGGACACAGGGGAACATGGGAAGACATGGAGGGATACACAGAGACACAGGATCACAAGGCAGAGATCTGCCCTCTTGCTGGGGTATAAACCAGCTCATGAATTTCCTCCTTTCTGTCCAGTCTCCAACCCAAACTGATCCCAGGGATGGAATTCGATTCTAAAAAACAAGACTGACCTGTCCAGGGAGGTCAGCTCTTTAATAAGGTCAGGAAAAATTAATCAGATTTGTGGAAATGTCAAATTACTAACCTATAGTAATTAACCAGCTGGTTATTCAAATTAACTATTTTTATTTCCAAAGTTTTGCATGAGTTCTAATGGCCTGCTAAAAAACAATTTTGGGTCATTCAACACTCACACATGACCCTGCAGCACAGGCAGAAGCCAGGATTGAAAAGAACATCAATCTGCCCGTGTCCAAAGATATGCAAAGTCAGTTTTAAAAATAAGATGACTGGGCTGGGGACGTGGCTCAAGCGGTAGCGCGCTTGCCTCGCATACAAAAGGCACCGGGTTCAATCCTCAGCACCACATAAGAATAAATAAGTGAAATAAAGGCATGCTGTCCATCTACAACTAAAAAATAAATATTTTTTTAAAAATCAGATGACTAGCATGTGTTTCCTGTCATTCTAGACCCCCATGGGGCCTCTCCAATGAGGGAGAACATTGGAGCAGGAGCAGAGCGGTCAGGACCCCGTCTTAGCCGTGGCACAGGGCATGTTATTTATTTAGCCTTTCCAGTTCAGGCCTCTTAGTAAAATGGAACAGCAAAGCTTCCTCCCAGTGTCACTTGTTCAGAAAGACAAAGTGTACAAAATGTTCAAAAGGTGAACATTACTTTGTAAATTCAGTGCACTGGTCTAAGCCAAAACTGTTCCGTTTTGTCAATGATAGCATTGTATGTGGTGACATTCACACCACCCAGAAAATTTCATTTTCTTTTTTCTTACTGGGAAAAAATAAATAAATAAATATATATATATATCTTTTACCTGTTTGCCAAGTCACATAGTCCCTGAATCATAGAATCATAGTGTCTGTGGATGGGACCCACTTCTGTCCCTGACTACTCCCTCAGGAACCTCTGCCCCTAGGACCTGTGACATCTGCTTCTAGTATAGACCTACCGTCTTCTTCAATATCCTTCTTCTCTTCTGTTTCTTTTTTTTTCCTTGTATCAGTGCACCCTTGGGAGTAGAGGGGGGCAGTCCTTTTAAAAAATAAATAGGAGATGAATTTGAGGAATAATCACATACCTCAAGATACTTTGAACTGGTTCTCATACTACCTTAATAGTTGCTCTATGTGAGAAATTTTAAGCTCAAAATTATTTTCTCTCAGTATTTCGAAGTGTTTTTTTTTTTCCATTATCTCTTATCTAATAAATATGTTGAGAAACATTACAGATCTGACTGACATTCTCTTTGCAGGGACCAGCACCCACCTTGGCCCAAGGAAGGAAAGGTCTTTTTTTAAAACTTGGATATTTTGTAATTTCCTAAGAATACGTGCGGGTGTGAGCCTTTTGCCTTCCCTGACATATTTAAGCTGCTTGTGTATTTTTTTTCTTGTATCAGTTCTTTGACGAATTCATTCCGTCATACACATTTTTGTTGAATTTTCAATATCTGAACTAATCATCTATTTTTTCCCTTTTTTACTTTCCATCTCTTTGGTCTTTTGTTTTTTTGCAGATTTCTTAATTTATCATAAAGATCTTCCACTGTACCCCCTGATTTTTGCAGTGTATTTTTTTATTCAAGACTCTCCTTAATCTCAGGGTCCTTCTTTTTCAAGGATTACTCTTCTTGTTTTGTAGATGTGATGTCTTCATGCATTTCTCTGGGGAGACTCGCCAGCAAACGTCTAAGTTCTCTTCTGTCCCCTGATTGGTGTGACTCCTCTGGGACCCATGGCTCTCTTTGTTATCTTCAGTCTTGCTCTTTTATCCTGCTTATGGTTTTTGTCTGAATATTTGCACTTGTGAATAAAATATCCTATCAATGGTCCTAGACCCCAGGCACAAGTGTCCTCTGCCCTTGTGCAGATTGACCAAGTTTCCCCGCAGGCCTGGCCACATGAAAAGACTAGCTGGCTCTCCAGCTCCGGTCAGCTGCTGCCCCCTCAAGCTGGGTGAGCAGGAGCAAGCCTCTTGTCACCAAATGAGGAATGTTCTGCTCTGTGAGACAATCCTTCCATCAGGTCTCCTCACTTTTCTCAGGCAGGTCCTTCCATTCCTTAACCATGAGATTCTTCATTTCTCATCCTAAAAGAAAGCTTCAATTCTCAGGTGTCCTCTCCAAGGAGCATGGAGATTTGGCCAATGGGGGCCACCATTTACTAAAGCATCATTCAATACATCCCCCTTTCGGGTCTGCACTTGCTCCTGGCTTGTGGACCCGTGGACTCCAAGCCTGAAGCTCCCTAGGTTCAGTCTCAGAGATGGAGCTTCCTCCTCCCGGCAGCTGATATTTGGAGCTATTCTCTTCATTTCAGCCTCTGAAAACTCTCACCATTTTACAGTTTCTAGGAGACTCTGGGAAGCTCTCCAGCCATCTCCTTATCACACCATATTTCAGATTTTTTCCCATTTGGGGATGTTTCATTTCAATCGGTTCCATAAAGGGAGAAGAAAACACAGTTGTTTTTCACACTCTTGCACTGACGCTGAACAGCATAGTGGGCTCCGCAGTCAAGGAACAGCTTTGTGAAGAAAGTCCAGTATTTCCGTGAGAAAGTGGTTCTTGAAGGAGTTATTGATGGTGGTGACTTTATTTAATATGCACATTTATCATTGTGATAGCATTTTCACACACGTCAATCAATTTGATTGACACAACCCTGGGAAGTGGGAAAAATAGGGCTTTTTGCTGTCACTTTGAAGAACTATAGACAATAAAAACAAGAGGCTAAGTAACTTTCCTAAAGTCCTAACAGTAGGAGGAAGGGCAGAACTAAGATGTGGGTTGTGGAGTCCTGATCCTTTGTGGCCTCTGATCCCCTTTAGACACATACATCAGGATCTGGGGGTAACAATACGTGTTCTTTATGTGTAAAATTATTTTTCCAAGTTTATTAGACAAATAGGAAAAAAAGAGTTTTCTAGTATACATTATTAAGATCAGTTCCTGGAAAGGAGGTTTAAAGCTTTGTTTTTCTAGTCTGGCCTGCAAAACAAATTCAGAAGCTCTGGTTTTCACAAATAATATTCCCCATTTTTGCTAACGTGAAGTTTAATCATTCCATAAATTCTCTGGAACTATAAGTGTTCTGGAAAAAATACACATCTCTGAAAAACAGGCTGGTCAAGTTGAAATTCACTAAAATGGTCCAGCATAATTGCTGAGATTGTTAAACACTCTGGGCAACAACCAGTCCGGTCTTATTGAGGGATATATGAAAGGAACAATTCATTGAACAACAGTCATTCATTTTTGCAAGTTCTGAAGTAAAGAGTGTGGTTTGCTGGGTGCATTTGCCCTGGATCTACCCTGTGCACATGAGGTAGTCCGTCTCTGCACCGTACTGTCCATGGTTCCAGCTTGAGTCAAGAATCCTATTGCTGTGCAGAACCAGATAAAGCTGATATATAAATGCTATTTTCCCATTGCACTTGACAAAGCATGACAGTTTAAGTACAGTTGAAGCCTGTTTTCATCATATGACTAGTGTTTGTGTCTGCTCACCTTCATCAACGCCTAGAAGAATCCAGATAAAGTAGTTTACTCCCCAATATCTCAAAACCTTCCTTTCCACTTTCTTCTCTGAATGACTAGCAATCACCTCGATCTTGAAATTAAAAGCAGAATATTTTTATTTATAGTCAGTCGAGTCTAAGGAAGATAAGCCAAAACAAAGGTACCAGACAAAAAAATCCTCTAACAGAAGCTTCACACCATGTGAAAGATGGTAAATTATCAACTGGGTTTCCAAGAATTGATCTTAGTAACTTCTAAGTAGATACAAAGAAATATGAAGTAGATGACACATCTCCATGGATCTGTGCA